ATCATGATATTTTATTAATAATAAATTAAAAATAAGGAAGGGGGTTCGTTTATAAATTATACAGGCATTCAATTCCGGCCTATAGTCTAAGCAGCGCTTTGCAAAGAATGCATTTTCTCAGGCCAATAGATAGAAACATTCCCCGGGGTGGAGTGTGGATTTGCACACATGGCGGCTTCACCAAGAGTCCATTAGGCTCCGTCCAGGCTCACGTACATGTAGCTGCCTTCGGAGGACACGTCTCACTACATGCCAGACACAAGACGGCCTCCTTGGGCTTCACTGTAAGCCCGTGAGGAAGGCGTTAGTTAGTGTGTTTGCCTTCCAGTGGGAGGAACCAGGGCCCAGAGACCTCAGGCCACAAGTAGGAGAACACAGTCCTGTCTGCTGGGCCCCCAGAACCTTCACGCTGTCCACCCTGTCTCCACACTCTTTTCCAATCTTTAATTCTTATTCTCACGTCACAAGACTTCTTACCTTCAGTACGAAGAGTATTAGTGGAATAAAGCTCATTGTCAAACGTTATCATTTTCCTTATTCGTCTTGAGAATAAAACAAAAACACTAAAATTATGGGCTTGCTGTTCAACCCCCTGGCACACAGACCTGGGGGTATGGCCACACTTGAAGGAGGTCAATCCAGTCAGTACCCAAAAGAATCAGGAGGAGAATCTGACAGCTGCCATGCTGACTCCTGGTGACCAGTACGCAAACTTCCTTTTCATTCACAGCACAGGCCGCATTTGGTTTCCCAGAGAGATTGTCAGTTAATTGGGAACAAGCACAGTACCCTACACTGTAATTCTCCCCACAGAGGCTAAAACATGCAGCATAGCCCTATGCTTTGATATGGTGAGTATATCACATGATGTGATGTGTTCAATAAATAAAACTTGCTTGCGTCAAGACGGTGCCTGTCCATCCCGCGCCAGTCCAGCCCTCGGGAAATGCTGAGGAGATGACAACAGATATAAGCCTCACAGGTACTTGAATTTAACCTCCACAACTCTTCAGACGCTCACAGTCATCACCAAACCCAGCCTTTTTAATAATCACTTAGAACTTCTTCAGCGCTAAACCACTTCCTAATCTTTTTTTTTTTTTTTTTTTGCGGTACGCAGGCCTCTCACTGTTGTGGCCTCTCCCGTTTTTAGTAAAAATAACCCAAAAGCAATGGCAAATCTGCCATCTTTCACTCTGTGTGGTCCAGAGTTTTTCTCAAACGATTCTAGAATTTAGCTTTCAGACTTTTCTCCTGCCTGGAGAGCACAAGGGCTTTAATATTGAGAGTGAGCATCCTGGCAGCTTTGAGTCCTCTTTCTCTCGTGTCTGCTGAGCCAGGCTTGCCTCTGAAGCAGAGGGTAAGATGTGAGCCAGGGGCTGCTGTACGAATGACGAGGGGGCTCTTGGTTCCTCTCACGTGGGCTGACGTGTGCTATTAGGTGTGGTAATGCGCACTTGTTTCCCATCCAAGGAATACAGACTTTTTTCAAGCATTTGACTTTTTCTATGCATTTTTCTTTGAGAATCTTGAAAAGACAATGCCAAGCTGCTGTTAAACTGTGGGAACATGCAGATCATCCAGTACAAACATGTGCCATTTCCTTCCTGCCATTTTCTCACCCTTCTAAAGAATAGCAGGTTTTTTCATTGCTGTTTTTAACAGGATCAAAAGGGTTACCCCGCAGTACCATTGATGGAGGCCTCCCAGCCGAAAGCTTACAGTAACCACCATTCTTACAGGCCATATCCTGCCATTGATTTTTACATAGAACTCCCCATTGATTGCAATAGGGAGTTTTTCCCCTAGATCGATGGCAGGATATAGCTAGTGGCATTAAGCACAGATAAAAGACCCTTGAGTTAACTGTCAACAGAACGAAAATTTAGATGTAAACTCATTTAACAAAAATTGGCTTTCAAAGGTTCGTCAGAAAAGAAAGCATTTCAAAATGCCTTCCCCCCGCCCACCCCTTAAGTTCAATGTAAATAAGATTTCTTATTACCAAATCATGATTTCCTTAGATGTGTCTTTTTGCTTTTCATGTTTATCAAAATCCCATTCTCATTAGTACTTCTAATAGATTTTAAAAAAATTTTTAAAGAAATGTGGGGTTTTCCCTCAAACAGTATAATATTTAGTGGGGAAGAAAGATGGGTACATATATAACTCTAGATCAAAGTGGGAGGAAAAAAGGAAGAGAGTAGAGAAGGGAGAGAGTGTTTCAAACTGGACAACCATTTTGCACTGGGGAGAGTGCTAAGTACTAGGGGTCTGCCTCATGGAGGAAAAGTCATCAAGACCTGTAATCATTTATAGATGTGGATTTTAACACTGGTTCACCACGTAGAACAGGCATGGAAACGTGATTTCAAATTTGCTGACAAACTTATGGTTTCCAGTCCAACCTGTAAAGAGCTTGGAAGATGCCACCCCATCCTAACAACAAGTAAAAGGTTAACAAACTGAAAATCAACAGCTCTTCTTAGAGCCAGCAGAGAAGTGAGGTCACAGGACAAACTGCCGCCTTCCAAATTAGAGATACTAAGAGGCAAATACAGAAAATCACGACTTACTGGAGAGAAACCCACAAGCCACAACCCTCCTGGGAACCAGTGCCGGGCAGGAAAACCTCAACTGTAATGGACTGGACTTGAACTGAATTGCTGGAGCCTCAGTGTGGACAAGTCTGAGAGTTAAAAAATCCAGGGAGGGGACTTCCCTGGTGGTGCAGTTGTTAAGAATCCGCCTGCCAGTGCAGGGGACACGGGTTCGAGCCCTGGTCTGGGAAGCTCCCACAGGCCGTGGAGCAATGAAGCCCATGCACCACAGCTAATGAGCCCGCTTGCCACAACTACTGAAGCCTGTGCGCCTAGAGCCTGTGCTCTGCACAAGAGAAGCCACCGCAGTGAGAAGCCTGCGCACCTCAATGAAGAGTAGCCCCCGCTCGCTGCAACTGGAGAAAGCCCGCGCGCAGCAATGAAGACCCAACGCAGCCAAAAATAAATAAATAAAATTAAAAAAAAAAACCTCCAGGGAGGCCCAGTCATGGGGGGGCATGGGGGGGCATGGGGGGGAAGGGGGTGTGGGGGAGGAGGGGGTGGAGGTATGGGGAGCATGGGGGGAGGGGGCATGGGGGGGAGGGGTGGGGGCGTAGGGGACGGTGGGGGGGAGAGGGCGCTCCCACACTTTGATGAGTTTAGCCTCCTAGAGCTCTATCTGGTTCTCATAGTGAAGATCATAGAAAAGTCCCTGAGTGCTTCAGCCAGGGAGAGAAGAAGAAGCATCGTGAAATATCCCTGACACTCCATTCTATTAACCAGGGCTGCCCTCAGGAGAGACTAGTTAACCTGAACCTCATCTGTTGAGGTTTCTTCAGACCTCACGGACCAGGGGGAGTGGAAATACCCAACTCCAGCCCCCCATCCTATCCCATCTAAGGGACAGACGGTAGAGCCAAGAAGCATGTGTGAAGTCCACTGTCCAGAGTCGTAGGCTCACCAAGACTGAGACCTCATCCTGGGACCACAGCACATTCCTCACCAGCCACACCCAACCTCACCATCACAGCACTAAAGGCCTCCTTACAGCAGTGCCTTCTACCCAGCTCAGCATGTCCACTATCAAGGGAAAAATGACAAATTTGCTGCCAAATTTGTGAACGTAACCATATAAAACTGTCTTGAAGCTTTCATCAGTCTGAACAACTTAGGTTAGCGCCAGGAACTCTGAAACAGTTTTCTAATTAGTGGGGGAATCAGGTGGAGTTGATTCATGTATATTTGAAATTAACATTAATCTCATTCAAACATGTTTAATGAATAATCATTAAAATTTGATATAAGTAGACTTCACAAATCTATTCCATTTTTAACAGAGGAATTGTGTGGGTAAAATGAAGCACAATAGAGCTTTGCTCCCTGGACACAACACCATCTGACTGACAGATTAAAAAGATTCTGTCAGCCTCATGTTTCAAAATACTTTTTTAGTTTTAGGTGGTTTCTTTATTTGTCCCCATGTTCATACACCCACGTAATGAATCTCAGATTTTACACAAAAGAAGTTGCTTACATTGACATCCTGGAAGTGAAATCTTAAATTTGAGGAAATGGCTATGAACACTGGCAAACTTACAGTTAGTACGTCTCAGACATTAAAAGATGCCGATTTCCCCCAATTCCTTCTGTGCCAGATAAAATCATTACACAAGATTAGAAACCCAGAAGGTGGGAATTGCTTCCCTACCTGAAAAGTGACCTGAGTGGACGTCTGGCTTCCCACCTCCTCCTTGAGACAGTTCGATTCCTCTCTCCTTCTCTCTGGGGCAGAGATGCTCTCCAGCCATACCCAGAAGCTGTCCCAGCTTCTTTCTAGCCCAGCAGACAGGGGTTCTCAGAACATAAATTAAGCACTTCTACTAGTTAAGCACATGGACGCATAAGAGATTTACCAGGGGGGCTGGGGGTAGCGTCTGTCTTTCCGTAGGGTTGTTTGTATTCACTCTCAGCTCTTCACTTTTGTATGCACACACAAGTGCACACACACTCACTGGAAATTAGGACGGGTTCTCTGGAGTTTTGCAGGCTGTCCGGAGTCGGCCTGCGTGCATTGCTTATAGCCATGAACATCATCAGAGCTGTCCAACGTATGTTCCTGGATTTTCTTCTGAGCACAGAGTAGGATTGCAATTCCTCGCCCTCCTAGCCAGGCGTGGGCCTGGGATCAGCTCTGGCAGGAAAGGCAATGGGGTGATACACCTCCCTTCAAGGGGGAGCTTGAAAAGCCAGTACGTGACTCGCATTCTTTTTCCTCAAGTTGCCACATTGGCTGCTCTTTTAGCTGGCATTGTTCTATCAGACTGGGTCCTAGAGATGGCTACAAGGCAGGAGACAGACGAGTGCATGGACAGAAAATATACCCTATTTTTTCACACTACTGAGATTTAAAGGGTGTTCTTCACCCTAGCTTAACCTCGCCTCTATGGCTGAGATACTAACCTTGAAAATCCCCCAGACTTCTGAGAAACTCTTGTGTTTACACGGCCTGTCTTCGAGCAGAGTCCTAGAGATCAGCACTTTCTCTGTGTGCCTTCTCTGAGCGCCGATGGAAGCCCGTCCTGCTAAGGCCAGCACAGACGCCTGCTGGTTTCCATATCTGCCACATGCTTCGCAAAAGCTCCCAAAGCTCTTGACATCAGATCTGGGCTGCGCGTTTCTGCAAAGACAAAAGGTCACTTTAAGAGTCCAAGCCTTTTGCTTTTGAAGCGAACTCTTGGTCCTTACCCCTTTCCTACCTGAACTCACTCTCTCATAAATTCAAACAAGATAACTAGCCCATCAGACATTAATAAAGACATAAGGCCGCCGACCCATTTTGGGAAATACGCACTTAGTCATCCATTTCTCCACCTAACTATTCATCTGCCCCCACTTCCAGGAATTATTTCTGTCGAGAACAGCAGTTATCCGTCCTCCAGCTCCCAGTCTTCCTTGGCTCAGCCGTCTCTCAACCCATAATAAGGCAATTTGAAACACAAACCAACTCAGGGAAGTGGCCCGTCTCTGAGCACGTGTGTTGCTGCCTTGGGCTCTTCCACGAGCCCCTCTGCTGGGACTGCCCAGTCAGCACCCTCAGCTGCCGCCCTGGGATTCTCACCTTCCACCTGCACACAAACAATAAGGACCGAATCTCCAGTTGCAGCTTTCTGCAAACTTTAGATTCATTAGCCTGAAGTTTAAAAAAAAAAAAAATTCAGTTGATAATATCAGAACTTACTCTCTCCCACAGGCCTAAAAGAAAAGAAACTTAAGCGGAAAAAAATACAGTGACACTGAAATATTCAAATATGGGATTTACATGACAACGGGGGAATAAATTCCATTTTTCACCACTCTACCTGCAAATGATTACAGAGCAGTAAAATCATTGGTACAGCAAAAGCAAATCATCGAGACTAAACCTAGAAGTTCAAAAGATTGATGGAAATCTTTTGCTCATTTCCAAAACAAAGGCAGCAAGAGACACCTGACTACACCCTGGATAACTAGGCTTTCTTTCCAACCTCCATCACTGAGCTTTTCTTCTCATGTCAAAGTCCTCTCTGCTGAGACAATCCGTATTGTGGGTTCGATTATGCCCCGTTGTCCTGAAGACATTTCTGTTTAGAAAAAGTGAGGCCTCTCTGGGTTAGGTGGCCCTTTTTTATGCTTCCCCAGTAGTCCCTGCATCCGGCTCGTGTGTGCTGTTCACACTGCAGGGGGCCCATCTGGCACCCTTATCTGACGGTGCATTCCTTCAGGGAGGGACCACCTCTGATTTCACTGCTGCATCCTTGGCAGTGAGCATCACGCCTGGCACAGAGCAGACACGTGCTGAATATTGAATGTCGAGGGCTTTTTAATGATGCCACCTTTGAGTATCCCAGACTCTCCGCTTCCAGGATAGGGGTCAGGACAGAGCCAGGGTCCAGGACAGCAGTAAGGGGACGGCCGAGTTCCCTTCACGAGCTCTTCTCCCAGGAAGGAGCAGGTCAGGCCTGAGAAGGAGAATTCTCCTGGCTCAGGCTTCTCACTACTTAGGGGACCGTCAGGCCAAGTTACTGGGGGGAGGGTGGGGCCTTCTGCCTTCTCCAGGCACCTTGCCCTCCCACCACCTCAATGTGTTCATCAGCTTGTAGGGGTTGCATGGGGGCTTTACTATGCAGGCACAGCCCATTAAATCATTGCCCACTGGTGACTAACTCCTCACCAGCCCTCTCCCCTCCCCAGCTGGGGCTTGGGGCTAAAGGTGTCAGCCCTCTAGTCATGCCTTGGTCCCAGCCACAAGCCATCTCGACAGCACACAAAATATACTCTTCCTCTTAAAAGCGAGCAGGACCCCGCAGGGCTCTCCGGGTACTAAAGCCCCTCCATGTCCCCTGCTTCTTGTTTGTAGAAAAAGGCTCTAGTCTCCTAGGCCTTTCCTGAGCTCCAAAGAACAGACTCAAGCAGTTACTAATTAGGGAAGTGGGGGAGCAGACACAAAGGAAAAGCAGTAAAGCAAGAAAAGTAATGATAACTTAAACAATAGCTCAGTGATAAAACAGAGCCCTAGTTTCTCCTCAAGGGATGTACACAAGAATCTGACATGTATCTTTGAGTTGTTCTGCAAGAACTAGTATCTCCTCCCACCCGCAGGTGAAGGATGGTGACTACCTGCTGACCACAAGCACAGAGGAGATCCCAGACTGGCTGGAACCAGAGGTTGATGATTAAGATTCCTGAAACATCACCCTGTCACCTCACCACCAACCAATCAGAAGAAAGTCCATGAACGGCAACCCCAAATGTTGCCTTTAAAAACCCTTCCCTGAAAGCCATGGGGAAGTTCGGGTCTTTTGCACACAAGCTGCTTGTTCTCTTTGCTGGGTCCTGCAACAAACACTACACTTTTCTTCGTCCAAACTGGGTGTCAGTAGATTGGTTTTGTGGGCAAGTGGACCCAAGTTCGGTTCAGTTGCACTCTGGAGATGCCAAAGATTTCAGGAATTATGACGGGAACGAGGGACACTCTTTTCTCCCTGACCCTGAACACTAATGCAATGACATCATTGTTTACTTTTGAACCCATTTTTCCATCTATTGTCTGTCTTTCCTACTAGAATGAAAGCTCATTAAGGTCCAGGACTCAATCTCAGGACTCAGATGTACTCAACAGACACCTGCTAGGTGAGGGAGTGAGTGAGTGAAAAAGCCTGGGGGTCACAGGTACACAACTGCTCAGAGCCACAGACCTGGGTGTTTGGACTCTTCCTTCCAGGCTCTGCCTCTAACACCAGGAGGTCTGCAAACAGGAGTTCCAAGTCTCTTCCTCTGCAATCCAAGGAAACCGAAAGCCCTTTTTGAGAGCTGTGTTAGTTTGCTAGGACTGCCATAAAACAAAGTACCAAAACTCAGCGATTTAAAACAACAGAAACTTATTCTCTCACTTTCTGAGCCTAGACGGCTGAAATCAAGTTGTCAACAGGACCGCGCTCCCTCTGAAGGCTCTAGAAAAGAATCTTGCCTAGACTCTTCCTGGCAGTGCCAGCATCCTCAGTGCTCCCTGGCTTCTACCTGCATCACTCCAATCTCTTCTCCGTCTTCACGTGGCCTTCTCCCCTGTGTGTCTGTGTGTCTCTTCTTTTCTTCTTATGAGGACACCAGTCATTGGATTAGAGCCCATGCCATCAATCCAATATGACCAGGATAATCTCATCTTAATGTGATTACACCTATAAATGTATCTAGTTCCAAATAAGGTTCCATTCACAAGTACTGGGGTTAGAACTTCAACATCTCTTACGGGGGAAGAAATTCAAAGCCCAAAGCATTGATTAGATTAGTCACGTGGTGCACATGGGAACTACTTTAAGAATCAACCAGTCCTTCCATCTTGATCTTGAATTCAGGCTACACAGTGTCTCCCGGGACACAGACAAAGGAGTCTCCATGTGGCATCTTTTTATCAAGAAGCTCATCAATCTCAAACACAGGGAATTTTGGAAGAAACTGCAGTAGAGAGTTTCTGAAATCTTTATTAAGTGTCAGGGAAGAGGATAAACAGAATACAAAGCAAGTATTTAGGTGACAGACATTAGTAAGGAAGGGGAACCATCCTAGTGTTTCTAAGAAGACTAGGATTTTGGAATGGAGATAGGTCCAAACTTTTAATAGAAAAGTGAACAAGTTTAGTCTTAGCAGTGAAAATATATTTACCAAGTGCACAAATTTCTGAAGAAGAAACGTGAGAAATGACCCCAGAAGCCCAGATTCCAATGGCTTTTCTCTACACAAAAAAACTAAAACTGCTTCCCAGTAATGCCCAAACTACCAGATGGTAGTGGACAAATTCCATGAACAGGTATTTGTTCTATATTATCCCAAATGTCCAACTGTCAGGTGGTTGTCGTGGTCAGAAGTACAGTCCTGTTTCCCTTCCCCGCCCTGACTGCCGTAGGAGGGTCATGTGAACGTCACTAAGAGGACTGCTCAATTACCAGAAGAATTGTGAGTCTGTGGAAAAATCAAATGCAGCAGAGGGCGTGGAGTCCGTGATTGCCAAACGGGAGTGTATTCCACTCCTAAGCTGACTGACAGCTTGATTTGGGCTCAGGAGAAGCAGTTACTGAAGGAGGACATACCATCTCTCTCTGCGATTCATAGCATGAGAAGACCTTAAGAGAAGGGCATTTCATTTGGTTCAATACTGCACTCTCCCCAAATAAAGCACACTTCCACATGAAATTGTATAACTTTGGAGATTTATTTCAGTCCCAGAAGATTTCAGATACACAGATATTTCACGTTCACTGAAAGAGAGATCAGAAAAGAGTAACATTAGAAATGATACAGAAGGAATTTAATCATGGACCCAGCACACAAAATGATCAGCTGAGACTCCACTTTGAAGCAAGTGTCTAAGGAAATCAGGAGTGGTTGTTTCATCTTCAGAGGCTGATCTGTGTGAACAGGAAGGACCAGCGCCATGGAGCCATTTAGAGAGAGGCCATAGGACAGGCTATCAGAAAAATCAAGTCATCCTCCATCTGAAAGAGCCTTGAGAAGCTGTACTTTCTTCAGTAATTTATATTTTGTAATGCTGGTTCTAAAATTGAGGACAAGGGTGCTAGGTGGGGTGGAGAGAGCATTTTGGAATTAACCTGGGAGTCTTTCTAAGTTACATGTCCTTTCATATAACTGACGAAAAAATGTTTTCTTTCGTTCTCTAATCGAAGAAATAAAAAAATTAGACGACAGGGAAATATTCTCTTCCTTCTCAAATTTTTCAAGGATTATTGACAAAGATATAGGCAGCATAAATCAGTGCACACTATTTTGGACTCCAGTTTGGCAATACATCAAGAACTTTGAAACATTCTTTTTCTTTGACCAAATAATTCCATTTTATGGAGTTTGTCCCAACAAAATAGTTTGAAATATGAACCCTGGTTTAGCTATTCATCTTATCATTACTTGTAATGATGATAATTATATACTCCATATGCCAAATAAATGGAGCAACATGTAAAAAAAAATTAAATTAAAAGTAAAAAATAAATTACATGGACTTTGGGAGAGTCTGAGGGGAGGCTGGTGGGAGAGGGGTGATCAGGCAGGAGTATGTGTGAAAAGGTTCCTCAGGTGACTCTAATAGTCTTACTTGTTTCAGAATCATTTTTACAGAAAATAGAATAA